CCTGTTTTTGGACTCCTCGCCTGTTTTTGGACTCCTCGCCTGTTTTTGGACTCCTCACCTTGCCTGCTCCTCTTGGATTTGTTTGCCTCTCCGGCCTCAGTACCACCCCCTGTTTCCTCTAACACGCTTCACGGATTTTGTTTTTGGATTTTGTATCTGGACCTCTGCCTTCCTGTTCATGACCCCTGCTCTGACAACCGGAACGTTATTGGAGTTGCCTTGAACAACGTTATTGCAGCTGCTCTGCACAGGACCAGTGACGTCATCGCTGCGGTCTTGACAGGTGACTCTCACTCTCCACCTGCCTGTGAAGACCTGTCAACACTTCTGATCCTCACTTTGCACCCACAGCCTATAAGAAATAAAACTGTTCTTGTTTTTTGCACTCCTGTGTCTGTCTTATTAAGAGTTCAAAAACCCGTTCTTGACAGGACAGGCGCCGCCATTTTGTAGTTTTTTCTCAGTCAGCCTCTAATCCTGCTCATAACGACCACATTACCCAGAAGGCAACAGGGCCCTGTCCAGAAGCCCCACTCCTTTCTGCTGAAAAAGCAGAGGAAAGTTTTGAAGTGATCAGCGCCCAGCGGACGGAGAGAAGCTGCACTGAACCCATCGAACCGAACCAGAACTGGACCAGAACTGGACCTCCAGACCCATCGGTGAATCTGAGAGCTGGTAGCCGGTCCATGAGGTCCATCTGGAGCCCACTAGGATGTTTTCATTTCTCGGGTCGGACCAGAACCGAGCTGCTGCTGTTCTGCAGAGACTGGTGAGTAAAATTTAGTAGCTACACATGCAGTTCTGTCCGCATGTTGTTAAAGTGACGCAGGTTCAGAGTGTGGTTGTAAAAACTTCTCTCAAAACCACGGGCAGTGAACGCGGCTTGTTCCTGCATTCACAAATTCAAATGAGAACTTTTATAATCAGCTGCTTGAGGGACAGAGATCATCTGAGCAGGTGCTGTGTGAGACTCTTCTCAAGAACCTACTTTTAAAATTAGATTTGGAAATCCAGGATGTTGCATCTGCTGAGGAAGGACTAACGAAGAGATGGGCCTTCAACATCAGGTCAAAGGTCACTGTGAGTTGTTGTGACCGACAAACAAAACGGAACGAGTCGGGTTTTATCTGTATTTATTACACACTCTTTTATTTTCTGTACATTTGCTGAGAACATGAATCCAAACAACAAAAAACCCTTCAGCGTGAGATTATCTCTGGTGTTTGATGAACATCAGCTTAAAGTAACTTAGAGTGAAGTTGAACTGGATCCAGTGCAAACGAACAGCAGCGACAATCAATAATTAGAGACAGATTCAGGAACAGTTCCCAAAACAAAACCTGAAATAAAAACTAAAAACACGTAAACTGGGATCATGTAAGGCAGCTGAGTGTTCAGGAAGTCACAGGACGGATGTCTGGACTTGTTTGGAGTTCAGATTTGGACCATCAACCAAATGCTGCTCAGCACAAAGGCAGTAAAAATGAAGTCACGTGGCGGATTGAGCACGAATACAAACACAACAAAGAAAGATGTGTGGCCTTCATCGTTTTCTCCCTTTCTCTGCAATAATACGACTTTTACATAAATAATATGTTTAATAAGACATCTTGATGAGGATTTACTAAAAGCTCAAAATAAGAACTTCACTGATGTGATGCTGGAACGAGAATGATGGAGAAGCTGTGAACTGGACAGAAGCAGATCAATAAATAAATTGCACATTTAAAATGAATATTCATTCATTCAACCTTTAGTTCTACACGTTAGTCTCACTGAGCCTCGAGAACTCGTTTACAACAGAGACCTGGTTTAACAAAGATGATGACAACAGGAGACGATCATAAAAAAAAACATGAAATGAAAATATAAATGGAAGAAAAATGAAAGAAAGTTATATAAAAAAACAGCTAGGTTGTAAAGTGATGTAGAAACTAACAACAGGAACATCTGTAGGAACTGAACAGATGTTTGAAGCCACTTAGAGAGGTCAAAGGTCGAGAGCTTCAGATGTTTTTACAAGATATTCCAGGAAACAGGAGCGGAGTAGGAGAAGGTCCTTTTGTCTAGTTCAGTCCTCACTGAGGGAACACTGCAGGTAATGATGTCCTGAGAGCGCACGCTGTAGCTGCACTCACACAGTGTAAATACAGAGACTTTGGAATAAGCTTCATAGAACTTCAACAGTTTCATGTAAATGTTGAAAGTTGCACGCAGACACAAAGTCTTCAAGAGAAGCACTAATAATGTGACATGTAATGTTTGCAGATTATGGAGGAAGGTCACTGACCTGCAGTCACCTGAGTAGATCTGGAAACAGTTTTCATGTATATTCTTCTGGTGTTAAATGTGAAGCATTGATGCAGCATCGAGCTGTTAACGAGAAAACAATCTGCAGCTGCTGATCACGGAATCTGAAGTTAGCGAATCCCTGCTGTGAAGGAGCTACTGGTTTGAAACGCACGTTTTCAGCTTGCTCTAGATGCACCATGCAGCCTGTTTAAAGGAACGGTTCACATTTCTTCATGTGTGTGTGGGGGGGGGTCTTATCTCATGTAGATAGCTTTTTGAATGACCTCAGTTTCACCAGTTTAAATAAATCTCTATGACACCGACATGTCGTGGAGATTTGTACAATAAACCTGTTTCTCATTGAAACATTTATTCCAGCAGCAATGCTGGGATCAGTTTGCAGGAAGTGCCCCAGGCTGCACAGGAAGTGCTACAGATAGCTTCCACGAATAAAAACAAACAAACAATAAATAAATCATAGTTTTAAGATATTTGAACCAGCTGTTAGCTCGTCAGTCTAGTCAGAATTAAACAATTTCTTCAAGTTAACGTTGTTCAAAAAGCTATCTACAACAGGTAAGATATTACCTGTCCATAACTTTCCCAAAGAAGCTCACTTTTAAAGATACAACTTTAAAAGGAAACGTAGTGATGTAGCTGTTTGATGAAAAATAAGCATGAACTTGGTAACACTTTATTTGAAGGGGTGTCTGCATAAGACTGACAGTGTCATGTTATGTTCAAGACAGCGTCATTAGCTGTTCATGACAGTGTCATGTGATGTTTATGATAGCGTCAAGAGCTGTTCATGACAGCGTCATTAGCTGTTCATGACAGTGTCATGTGATGTTTATGATAGCGTCAAGAGCTGTTCATGACAGTGTCATGTGATGTTCATAACAGTGTCATGTGATGT